GGAGGTACAGGTCGCATTGGAGATACAGGTCGCATTGGAGGTACAGGTCGCATTGGAGGTACAGGTCGCATTGGAGATACAGGTCGCATTGGAGGTACAGGTCGCATTGGAGATACAGGTCGCATTGGAGATACAGGTCGCATTGGAGGTACAGGTCGCATTGGAGGTACAGGTCGCATTGGAGATACAGGTCGCATTGGAGGTACAGGTCGCATTGGAGATACAGGTCGCATTGGAGATACAGGTCGCATTGGAGGTACAGGTCGCATTGGAGGTACAGGTCGCATTGGAGGTACAGGTTGCATTGGAGATACAGGTCGCATTGGAGATGCAGGTCGCATACGGGCAAAAAAAATCCGATTTGGGTCACTTCAGGCTGCAGTGTGAACGTAGCCCAAGTCGTTTTGCCTCTTCAGCGCTCTGGTTGTTAATTTGCTCTGTTCTGTAGCTTCCAGCTAGAGAGCAGCTTGGCTTTATTTACTTTATGAGCTGGAAAAATTACTTTTAACACGTTTTTAAGCGAGAAAGTCCACCTCCAAACATCCTCTGTACATCAGTCCATCAGGATTATAATCCCACTAAAATCTGCATTTCTTGTTGGGAGCTCCAGACCTCCAGCGTACCGCCAGGAGGCAGCGCTGGGAATCCCCGCTGGAAGCTCTCTGCTGCGGCCAGCCTGTGGGGGATTTCCTGCTGCCGTTCTTAGGGGGTGGAAGTGAACAGAAAGAGTTTTTAAGGTTTCTGGTAAAAACTACAAGAACAGATGCGCCACTCCTGACGCTCGAATGCGCCGCTGTACCTATCGACTCCATCCCCCCAAAGACTTGATGTGGTGTGAATGCAACAAAAGTAAATGCCAACATTAAGACAGTTTTCTAAGCTGTATTCTATAATCCTAATCCACTTGAAATAAAAAAAGAAAATTAATAAAAAAAAAACGTGGTGTGCTTTATTCCACAGCTCTTTTCACTTCCTTGTTTACCAACTGAGCATGTGCAGTATCGTAGCTGCGGCTATATGGAGTTATTGGAAGAACACACAAAAAGGGCTTTTTTTTATTAACAAATTTATGAAAAATAAAGCATAAAATACAGAAAAAAAACAACAGGAAGTGGTCATTTTTCAGAAATACTTTCTATGCAACCAGAGCGAGCTACTGGCAAGTAGATTTAAAGAGTCTCCATTACAGGAGCCCTGTCACCTACTGAACAGCAAATTACGCTGTATGCCGTCGCCATCTGCTGGCACATTGCAGCTTCAGCAGTTTTAACATTGTCGTGAGAAAAAAAGTATTCAACTATTCACTCCAGTTAAATAAACATAGATTGATGGATTTCACTCAGTCTGCACTTTATTTTATCTTTGCAAAGAGAAACAGTTCATCATACAGCCCTTATTGCACGGTAATCAGCCCTGTTCTGCCTGAGCAGCGTTCATTCCTCCTTACTTACAATAATGGAAAGTAGTCAGAGTCAAAACAAATTACAAACACTTTGGTTAAACAGTAACATGTTATGAATAAACCTTGAGAAAGAATCTGGTTTGTTATGGGAAGAAGCTATGCCTGGACTACAAACACCGTCCTGCAGAGAATGGTGTGGCCTTCAAGGTGAATCAGACTGAGTGAAAACTTGAGTAATCAAATCAGTAAATAGGACAAATTAATATATAATAGAAGAGAAATCTAAATTTTCCGACAACATCTAAACTCCATCGCATACCACCCATTTCTTGGGAACCATTGTTTTGTGCCTTTTGACTCTTGATATTCAATTATTAATTTTTTTTTTTACTCGGGTCTACTTGGGAAAATACGTTC